TTCCTGCAGAAGACGACTATCAGAAGCTCAAGCACACAGCTATGGATGAAGACATGTCTACCTTGGTACTTGAAACTCTCAGTCTTCCTGGTAGCCAGTACCAAATTGGTACCAGAAATCAGCCCACCCACATACTCAAATCAGATTTGAAGTCTGTTGTTCGACTGTGGCAAGCAGTTATGTACAGCAATATCCTTCCTCTAACCCACACATCAGATATCACCAATGCACGAGCCAGGATGATCTTCTGTATCATGCAACAGAGAGATGTGGACATTGCCACTTTGATTTCTGATGATATGCACGCCATCGTTCTGTCCAAGCCTTCAAAATCTGGCGCGGTGCGGCCTTTAGCTTTCCCGGGACTCATCACCGGTATGTGCAAGGCGAAGGGAGTTCGTATTCCACAACCACTGACTCCCATCAGAAAGAAGATTGATCATGTATTTGTTAATTCCCGATGCTACAACCGGAGGGAGTTTCCGCGGTCTTCTGATAGTCAGTCCCAACCTCCACCACCAGTGTCTGCACCTCAAGCCCCGCCACTTGGTCCCTTTGATTTTTCTTCCATGCAAGATTACATGGCTCAACAATTCCAGCACATTGAGCAACGTCACCAGCTGGAGATGGCTCATCTCTGCCATGTGCAACTTCAACAGGCTGCTAATCATCGTGGACAGTTGGCCTTGCATTCATACTTTTACAACTACACTTTACATCAGGCCGACACCGGTGGCAGCTTGTACCCCTGGCCTACCCCAGAGCAATTTCAACGGGCTATTCTTTGGCCTGGGGACAACCCTGTTTTTCCAGGAGGGGGTGATGCACAGCCACATCAAGGTGAGCAGGTGATGGATTCAGAAGGAGAACAAGCTGGTAGAAATCATGATGGCGAGCAGGTGATGGATTCAGAGGGAGAGCAAGTTGGTGAAGAAGGAGGAGATGATGGGTCACTATCACCCACCTTTTGAAGAAAAGGAGTTTAATTTTAATTTTATGCCAGTTTAAATTCAAGTCATTTTAATTTCAGTTATTTAGTTTTCGTTTCGTTTGGACTATTTTGGTGGTTTAATTGTTTTGGTGTTCTGTTTGAACTTTTGGTGTTCATGGTGAAATTTTTTGTGTTCATGGTTGAACTTTTGATGTCCTTGGTTGAACTCAACTCATACATTGTGGTATAATCTTATAATGTTTGGGATATACATATATACTTTTTGAAAAAAAAATGTATATATATTTAAATATCTTTTGGGAAAAATTGAAAATCATTCTTGGGAGGTAGTAAATGAGATGGCTTTTAGATCAACAAAAAGTGAAAACACATCTTTTGATTCACCTTAAAATGGTTTGTTTTGAGACTTGCTTTGAGGTTGTACTCATCCAATTTGCTTGATCATGAAGTTGTGAGATATTTGATTAGCATGGCATGAAAGATCAGTAATTGAACATTTAGCCAAGCTGGTGAGTGAGAAAGACTAAACAGTGCATCTATCATATACATTTATACTTTGAGAGCCATCATCATAGCATATGTGTTTGCATTGTTTGAGTCTTGAATGATTGCTATTGTGAGAAGTTTTGGACAGGATCAAGGCATCCCATTGTGAATAACTGGAATTTTCTTAAGCCTAGAGCCAAACACCTAGCCATAATTGAATCCATCCTTTAAAACCTGTTTGAGCCTTAACCTTCAAATAACCTTAAACCTCTCCCAAATACCAACTCATCACCCTGACCAAACTCTTGAGAGTAAATGAAAATGAATTGGGGATTAAGTTGGGGTAGTTGGTAAAAATTGCCAAGCTGAAAGAAAGTGGAGAAATTAGGCTAATGCAAAGTTGAAGGGAAGAGTCACCCCTCCATCATTTTCACTGTTCAAAATCAAGTGTGCTTGTTAGTTTCATTCTATCATTATCATATATTCAAAAAAAAAAAAAAAAAGGTCAAAAAATCAAATCAAAAGCAAAATAAGCAAGCACCTGTACAAAAAGTCTAAAAAGAGAGGGGTCTCTTAAAATCTAGGCAGAGAATCTTGAGGAAAGAGGGTGTGTAATTAGAGGAAGAATTTGGGCTGAGAGATCTGGTTGGAGTTGAATATTTAGAGTAAACAGGATGGAGAGTTTGGTTCAATTTCATTTTACTCTCTTAAGTTTAAACCCTGTTAATCTGAAAAACCACACTCCTTTGTTAACCAAGCTTCAATCAACCCTCAACCTTCAAAAAAGTCCTTGTGATCCCTAATTTTCTCTCAAAGAGTAGTACTGAAGAGATAATATCAATGTTTATGTTCATAGAAATGATGATTGGAATTGAGAGAAACACTCACCCTGGAGAGCCATTGTTGAGAGAGTATGTTCAAATATTGGTTTGTAACTTTCATGCTATGATTTGCCTTGCAATTTTTGTGGTTGGGCATGATTGTTGTTGTGGGCACCTCAATGAGTAGAAATTGGTTTGTGATGGTGAATTGATTGAGTGTTTACCTATTGTTGATACAGAAGAAATCTCATGGTAGGAAGTGACCTTTTTGGTTTTTGATTGGTATCTTGTAGGGGACCAACAAGAGATTAAGTTGGGGTAGTTGTTGAGTGTCTTTTATGCATGATTTGCACTCAACTTTTGGTACTCTTTTTGGTAATTGTAGATATTATATATGTTACTTTACCCCCCTTTATTTAAAGAATCAAGTTATACTAAAAGAGTAGAGGAGTAGTAGCAAAATCTTAAGGAATTTCCTCATTTTTTGCAGGTTTTTTAGGAAGGCAGAGATCCACAGCCATAGCTGTGGATCTGGAGCTCGAGATTTGGAAATCTGGGGAGAAATTGTGAAGGTCAGAAACTTGCAGCTATAGCTGTGGTTCTACAACTATAGTTGTGAAAATCCGGAATGCTCATTTTTTGGTTCCAGAGACTTGAAGCTAAAGCTGTAGGTCCATAGCTTGAGCGTTGAGGCTTGGGAGATCAAGGAGAGTCACAGAGACTCACAGCCATAACTATGGTTTCACAGCTACAGTTTAGGGAGTTGCTTAATCATGAAGGAGTTTCCACAGCTATGGTTGTGGAGCTACAGCTACAGCGCCAGAAGTTTCTTCACTCTGAAGGACTCTCCACAACTATAGCTGTGGATTTACAGCTGCAGCTGTGAGAGGAAAAATCACTTTTTGCCCCTATTTTAAAGCTCATATAAAAGGGGAAAAGCGAAGAAACAGGACATCACGAAAAATACAGAGAAAAACAGATTGAGGAGTACGTGAAGAGGGAAGAATAAGGGGAGAACAAAGATTTGGAAGCTGAATCCTTTGGGAACGAAGATCAACTCCATTTCTTCATCCTTTACTTTGTAATTTCTTCTTTTCACTCTTTGATCTTGTAATGGCCATGTGTGGCTAACTCAATTAGGATTGGTTGGATGTAACTACTAACTCTTCTTCTTCTTAAATATATGCATTTTGATCTCATTATTTGTGCTTGATTCTTCTCTTAAAGCTTATATCGGCTTGATCACCCGTTGTATGAATTTTGGTTTTTGAATCCAGTTGGAAAACGTTTTTGGAAACCCGAACTGAATCTTGCACCTAATTATTTCTTGTTCTAGGAATAGACTTGATTTGGTTAGTCACATTGTTCAAGTCATTGTTCTTAATGCGGAGTGTTAAACTCGAAACATAGAGGAATCATGTTTTGAGCTTAATGACTTTAGGATTCAACCTTGAGGAATCTTGTTGGATTACTTGATGAACGTGGAAATAATGAAATTAGAATTGCATTTATTTTAAGAAGATCTACGAGTTAGCATGTACTTCTGAATCAATCCTTGTTTCTTAACCATTTTTCTTACTACTTTTATTTTATTGTGTTGTTTTACTCTATCTTTACTCATTTGCAATTATAACAACATTCTCTTTTAAATCGTTAGAGCAAGAATTACTAAACACTCAAAATCCCTGATGACGATATTTGAATACTACTTCGAAACTTGGTCCGCTTGCCAAGTGGAGAGATTGCGAAAAACCTCATCAATTATGTAAGAAAAATAAAGTGTATATGAAAAATTAACTGTCCACTCTATTAATAATAACTACCGACTTCTTTTTTTAATATAATAACCACCCACTTAATAGAAGCACGAAGTGCTTTTTTGGTTGCTAGTTTTAAATTATATGATAAGAAACCAAAACCAAAATCAAGGTAAACTTCAGGTAAAAAAAAAAAATGTATTCAAACCTACTTTCAGTAGATGTTTACTATTTGCAGACTATTGATGCACACAACTTCACATTTGCAGATGCAGAATAAAACAAAAATATATAGCATTATTTGACACTCTCCATAAAACTTCCAATCACAATTTTCTAAATTTCTATGGATTAAATGCGAATAGAAAATTAGAACACTGTCAATTAAAGTTTGATTTAAACAGGCAATGAGGGGAGGAGGAAATACTCACAACCGGTAAACTAATTTACATAACGAGCACTCCCTCTGGCTCCCTTGTGATTTACCTTGGAGCTACATAACTGTATAGTATTCACATTTTTGACTTTTCATATCTTATAATAGAAACCAGGAGCCTATTTACATACAAGCTTAAAAGGACCTTTGGTGCTTCTCTATGAAAAAAAAAAAAAACTTAATTTTCAGTGGCATAATCTCTCAAAAGCTCTTCTAAAGTTGTATCCATACAGACTCTAAAGTTAGTTTAGTTGAATTCAATTACAGGTTATAACCGAATCCCAGCATCTCTTGTATTGAGTTACAGTAGCTAAGCTCAATGCTCATAGCCAATCAGTAAGTGTTTCATATTAGCTAACATATCTCCCATCCTATAAATACATGTTGCAATATTGATTTGTACTACAATCTTAATCAATTACACATAGATTTTCCACGGCACTCCCCTTATCTACTTGGTGTCACATGTATCTCTTCTCAAAACTCTAATATCTTACATGATGAACCAAGAAACCTAATGAATGCATTAAAAAGGGAAAGTAAATCACCTGAACTCCTCTGTCCAACATCTTACTTTCCAAACTGTAAATAACCGGATCAGGTTCGCCGGGTTTCTGATTGGTGATCCAAACAACATCAGAACCAACGCCCCTCAACAGAAACGCCAACTCCATCAGCAGCAAAGGCCCGCCTGCAAGTGAATCCAATCCACTTTTTTTTTTATCATCAAACGGGAAATTAGAAAGAAAAAAAAAATTCGATTCGATTGGGGGTGAAAAGAACCTGAAAGAGAAAGCTCGTGCGAAACCATGAGAACGAGCTTGGACTTCATGAAATGCAGGGGACTCGAAGCGGCATTTCCGATTTGGACGGAGGAACTAATCTGATTGTCTTGCTGTGCTCCACCAAAGTTCTTGATGTTGCATGAATCGGAGCTGGTGGGTCTCATGAGGAGCACCGTCACTGTTGAGATAGACAAGAATGCCGCCAACACGATTGGCCACCGCTTCTTCGCCATTGCCACCGAATGCTTCGCCATCCTCTCCCACCTTTTGCACTCTCTAAATTCGCATGTTTTCTAGGGTTTCCGCTCGGCTTAGATTGATTCAAGGTGCGATAACGAACTTGGTCGCAACCAGGTTTAGGAATCTAGAAGGACTCCTCTTCACTAGTCCCAGATCGATCGTAGTTAAAACTCATACACTCACTATCTTCAATCTTCTCACCGTGATCGGGCGAACAAATGTTTGGGCCTCGAACATACTATACTGCTATGGGCCCTCTTGCCCAAATTGCTCTTAAAATCCCTTGGCTTCTCATAAATTTGATTTTTTACAATTTTTTTTATAATATTTTTCTTATCATTTATTATGGAGAGATTTATTATTAATGATAGAGAAATATAAATAGAAAAGAGATATTATTAAATTTTTATACAACTTTTGTTAAACATGTAATATTTATCTATTAAAAAGTGGTGATAAATTTAGCTGAGACATTGAATTAATAAATTATTAATTTTACTGATGAATTATTAATTAAATTGTATGAATTAATACATTATTAAATATATGGTATGAAAATTATTTTTGTTATGTGTAACTCTCGTCACACTGTTGGTTTATATCTTCCTAAAATTTCATAAGACATGGTTTTAATCATTGTTAGGTGCATAACTTTTTCTTTTAATCATATCATATATAGTACTCGGAATCAGTTCATTAAAAAAGTTGAATAGAGACATTATATTAAGAAAAAACTGAACGAAGACTTTACATTCTTGGTTTGGTGCAATGGATTGAATTATGTAATTGTGTTTGTCTTTATTTTAGTTCTTTATATATATATATATATATATATATATATATATATATATATTAAATATCTGAATTAATAAAGCTCAATTTGATATTTTGTAGAATAAAAAATTATGCTAAATGTATTTAATTCAATTTTTTAAACATAACTAATTAATTTTAAGATCAACAACTATATTTTAAATAGGATGATAAGGTAGGTTGGTTTGTCCCTCTTTTAAGTTATCATATCATTAGCCTACGTAAAATGGAGCAATGGAGTGGGACGAGCTAATCCACTTAATGATGGTAAGCTAAAAATTCTTGTCTAGCCTACTTAAAGATAGATTGGTGGATTGATAAGTTATTGTGCCAATTTTTATTTAAATTAATATTTTTATGTAACTATTAAACTAAATTAACAAACTTAATTAAATGATTTAAAGTATATTATTAAGGACAAAATTTAAGTACAGTTTCTTAGATGTGATTAAGGTTATTCTCTAATCAAAGTTGAAATTCTACTTTGATATTATGCAACAAAAAAAAAAAAACATTTAATACAAATTTCATTAATATATATTTACGCATACTTTCAAGGTAAAATCTTAACTCTAATTAAAAAACAGTATCAACTATATCTACAAAATTATACCTAAATTTTATCTTATTAATAATTTGTTGTGCTTAGTTTAAAAGATTTTTTTTATAGCAAAAGCTGTTAGTTTCAATGGTTCAACACTTATGCACCTTAACTAATGACTAGATTTGATTTCTATCTTAAGTATGGAGTCACAACTAGATGTATCATTTTATCCACATATAGGATAGACTAAGTGAGAAAAAGTTGTATCTTCTTATTAAACATTTTTTTTTTTATAATTTCAAATACCTTTTCATGCTTATCATCGATCTAAGAATCTTGTTAAACAAAAACTTGGCCAATGAAGGCATGAACTTATAAATGTAGTATATCGCTTATCTATTTTTTTTTGTTAATTTGATTTTTATTTTTGACACAAATAAGAACAAATATCATGAAATTGGCTAATGGCTATCTCATTTATTACAAGATAACAAATGACATGCTCATACGCAAGTGTTACCGGACAGGGTTATGAAACAAATTATGAATTTGATATAATGAGATCTTCTCATGATCTCATCCACTGCTTTCTTCCTATAAACTGGTATCAATTGCATACCTGACATAAAACAAGCCTCATGAATCATGGTTTCACTAAATCTAAAGAACATCATTAGTCATGATTTTCAAAAACTTGAATTTGATCACCTGAGGACATATTGCCTCATCATCTTCTCATGTTACATAATGTTTATCTCTTGGTTTAGGAGAAAAGAGCAACCTTAGCAGTTGGAAAATGGATCACAATAAAAGAAATGTTATAATCATAAGGTTGATAAAGTTGAACAAAGCAAAATGTGATCGTGAAAATTTTCTTTGTCACAGTAATGGGACTTTGACAGTTCACCAAAAATAAAAGCTTGTTAGATACAAGAGAGGGACTTCATGCGGTGAGCCTATATTCATTAAAGAATGTTAATGTTTCCCTTCCGCATTCATTTAGAATCTTTCAAATTTCATAAATGCACCTTTAATTTGTAGATCATGTGCAGTAATGAATTTGTAAAAGTAAATTGATTTACAAAATTGAAAAAAACTGTGAGGAGGAGATTTCAGTCTTGGAAGATGAATTATTAACTTTTGATTAACAAATACTTTAACAAATTTTTTTTTGTAACTTTAGTGTTTTTTAAAATAAAATTTAAATTTAAATTAATGCACTTTCATTTCTTTTCCTGCCACAGATTTTATTGAATTTTTTTTTTTGTTCACACGAGCTTTGATTCAATCCTCTACACAATCTGTGGTATCTTCCCTCGTCAAGAAGTTGTTACCAGCCGGGTTGGAGTCTTCAGAAGACTCTCCAAACTCCTCTTTGTACATTTCTTCTATCATTGGTTTCCATAGCCGTACTCTTGCATTTATGAACCAATTTGAGACCTGAAGCAACAATAAAGGCACCAACATGAGTATCACAACAAAGGTAAAAAAAGTAGGGTTAAGTTTTGGACAAGGAATTACTTGGTTTTTAGTTAAACCTGTCTGAGATGCCAGCATTAACTTTTCAGAATCATTAGGATAACTGCATAACCAGATATCAATCAGCATTTTTCTTAAGGCAAGTAGTGACTTAAGATTAAGAAAACAAGAACATAATTTGAATAGCTTACGGGTGGAGAAAGTGCTCAAAGAGCCATGAGCGAAGAATTGCCACAGAGGTTTCAGGCAAGCCTCTGATGGGTCTCCAAACTTGGCGTTGGCTTTGGATCACACGAAGTTGTTGGAGAGACATTCTACTCTGTCTACTGTCTCTATCAAACAAGCTTAGTTGAGACAAGCCGCTACTGATCTTAGGTAAATCCTGAAAGAGTTTTCTTTTCTCAGCATTTATTTGTGACAATATGGCATCTCTCAAGCTGCAGAAATGCCTTGACATGGCTTGGAGTGCCAAAGCAGTGTAACACTTGGCAGCTCCCAAACCAGCTATCATTTCAAAGGATGATACCACTTCTTCCATTTGATGGTAGTATTTCTCACACCTGGCCTCAACCTTAAAATTGACCACAACACAAAAAGAAAAGAAAAGACATTAGTTTCAACTTTCACCTTTCAAGTCCAAAGGCATATCCAAGTTAGTGAGAGCAAACCAACCTCATCTAACAAAGAAATCAACCTTGCAATTTTGATTTGATGTTCATGTTTGTCAGCCAATAAGGGTCCATTATTCCTCAACTCTGCCTTCAACTCCGAGGAGAGAGTCCTAGCACCTCCTCTTCCCCCACGAAACAACTTCTCAGCATACTTCTCATTGATTCTATCAACCACATTTCCACCAACATCAACAAGATCTTCAAGAAGGGACTGAACCGGTTTGAGGTACCTCGAGTTCCCAATGACAGAAACAAAAGACTCAGCAGCATAGGAGGTGGAAGGAGAACGGTTTAATGGGGCAGAAGAGGAAGCAAAAGAGGCACTTGCAGCGTTGAAAAAGTAGTCACTGGTTAGATTCTGAGGTTCCACTGGTGGATTACAAGCCTCACGTGGCTCTTGTCCAGAGATGAAGTAATTGGGGTTCATGAGAGCAGGGTTTAAGGGTCTTTGATGCATGTGAGAGCCTAAAGAAAGAGAAAGCCCTTGAGTTTGGTGATGAATGCTCTCATTTGCTGCTGCACCAAGAAGATCCATCAGATGCCTTGTGTGGCTGATCTCAGAGCCTTCAGCTACTCCAATGCTGGGAAATACTCCCAAGGCCTCAGAAAATGCATTGTTGTGCCTCATGGAAGAGGCATAAGCATCAAGCTCTTGGTTCTCAAATTGGTTTTGATGGGTGATGGAGTTGGACATAACGAGGAGAGTTTGTGAGATAGTTAGTGTTGTTGGTTGTAAACAAGTGTGTAAGTGTAACTAACAAAGTGAAGAGCATGGGCTATTGGAAATTTTAGAGTTTCGGAAATGCGAACCCCATGTCATCGTGATTTGTAAAAAAGATAGAATGAGGAAAGGGGGGTTGGAAGGCAAGTGGATACTGTTTTGGACGTACTGAAGAAACTATTTGAGTAAAAAGGTATGTGAAGATAGGACTTAATAATACACAGAAGTGGAGAATCCGTACCACGTCGCACAATGGCCATCGATGTTCACCAGTGGCGAGGATAATCAGTGGTCACAATCAACTCCGAAGTTTCAAGGTGGAGAGAGAGAAGCAAAGCCATTGATCATGGGGAAAGGAAGCTCTAGTGTTATTCAGTAAAAAAATGTGAGTGACAACTCTAACCAAATTTGGAGTGTGCCAAGATCACACAAGAGAAGACATATTATTAGGACTAGGAGGTGGTAGTGTCAAGACTCGAGAAGAGAAGAGGGTTAAAACTTAAAAGTTAAAACACAACACAAGCTAGCAACCTTGAAAACAAGACAACGGTTGTACAACTGTTTCATCCACTAATTCGAACTACTTATTGGCAGTTAAGATGCAAAGAAACTTCCTACTTATTTGTGTAAATATTTTATTTACAAAATTAAAGAATTTAATTAGAATATAATGCACTAACAATAAATAAAAAAAGTTATACTGACATTCAATTGCTAACTTTATAATCACTAATTAAAAATTATATCATAGTAAACAATTTCTGATTAATTTATAATATAAAATTATTTAATCTCCGATGATATTTCAAATAATATTGTTTTTGAAAGAATATACACATGAAAAATTAAAGTATCTCTTTAACAGGAAAAAAAAAAAAAGGACCCCAGTATAGTGACATAATAAAAAACATCAGAAATATAAAAAAAAAAATTATTTGTGAATAACCACTGCAAATAACACGGAAATTCCTTAGATTACAAGTAACTTTTAGTAAAAGGATAAAATAAAATTCCATGGAAAAATAACTTTAAGAATTAAGACTTTTAAAAGAGTAATGCTATACCTCTGACTTGATTCACTCACAATTTTCTTGCTATCTTATGAAGTAAGTATTAAGTTAAAAAAAATGTACCTATGGTATAATTTTTTTATATTGTCATTCAACTACAAATTATAATAAATGTGTTCAATATCTTAAAAATATATTCTATGTTTACCATAAAACAGTAAGAAGATTCAACAACTTGTGTTTGTTGCCATAAATTATCTGGAATTGTATTTGATTCTTCTGAATGAAAAAAAAAATAAGAAGATTAGTAGAAAGATGAAGTCTTAAAAATAATTGCATAAATATTTTATCCACAAAGTTAAGGGTACAAATGCAAGTAGACCCCCAGGCGCTTTTATAGCCCTTGCAGATTCTGCAATTCAAGTTTCAACAATGATGTAAAATATGCGTTAGACAATAATTCAATGAATATTACAATAATTTACCCTCTCTTTCCCAGCAGATCTATATCTATCTATCATCTACCCTCAGACCTATTAGTCTATTGCACAGTTCTGGCCTTTCTTAAAGAAGCCAAGTTAATTGGCTATGTTAGAGAACATAGAAAATGACAATAAAATAAAATGGTCCCCAACTTTCCTGACTATAAAACAACAAGCAAAAGCATCAATCTTCCAGCTTTAGTCCCTGCAGTTGTATTTTTTTGGGAGACTCAAAAGCAGCTCTTGAAACAGTGTAAATCTCTTTCTTTCTTTCCCTCTCACCACAGCCACAGGGGGGAGGGGGGGGGGAGCCCTCCATAGGTTAAACTGTTCTGTTCATTGTATTGTTGTGATCTGAAAAAAGAGCAGAAAAGTGGGCTATCTTTTGCACACTCCCAGTTCTAGGATTGTCAGTTTGTGAGCCTGTATAAATTATATCTAACTTTTTTTCCTGTTAGGTATTGTGGCCATGCATAGGGATGTTGAAAGGACACTGATTATCACAATTCAGATTAAAAACTCAATTTAAATTAAAACTCAGAGGGAAGGAGGGTATGTAACTATGTATGTGCTGTTGAGCCTGAGATTGTTTTTGAGGTTTGTATTGGTCCGTTTGGATGCTTTAGTAATCATTGCGATCTTTGTTCCTTTGGACTCCTTCACTTGTCCCTTTCTCTTTCCGTAACCTTGCTCTGTAAAGGCCGCATACCTACATCAAACCCCTTCCTCCCTCGTCTGATTTATGAATCAACATACTATTAATAGAACTGTGCTTAAAAATACCAAAAGTTTGTGCCACTTCAAACCATAGACATAGACCTCCATGTGAATCCTGTTTCAATATCAGTTCTTTAACTTTAAAGCCATGAATAAACCATTTTTCTTATACAAAGGACATAATTTAATATTATTTGTACTGCTCATTTGCCTCCGTGCAAGTTATGAAGCATCATCATCATGATTGATCAGTGACACAGACTAAGGTGCGCGTATGGACCACACGACATGCCGTGAATTTACTAACAAGAATCAATACATTCACATCGTACTTGTTACCGTGCTGTTTTATTTATTTATTTTCTTTTACAAGATTCCTTATTCAACATAATGCACGAGACGTGTTCTTTTATCCTTACAAAAATTGCCTGCACATACATACAACCAATCATCTGTAATATTACAAGCGAATATATCTACACATATCTACCTGTATATTTTTGTACGGTTCGTGATTTGCATCACTTTTACGAACAATGGGCAACAAGAATGAGGAAGAAAAAAGGGTAGCAGCAGCAGCGGCAGCCAGCATAGGCTTTCTCTTTAAGCTTAGTGGAGGTACACCTCTCCAGAGATCATAAAATATTTTTGCTAGATTTCATACGACAAACTCATGCAGCAGATGGGGATTGCCGAACCTGTGTTGTTGCTTTCCTGAATCCGTGAAATGATAATCTAACAAATCAGCCTCAGGGGAAGAAGCCAATGTTTGATTACGTCGTTTGTGGATGGCATCATCAGACATGGCAAACCCATCACTTTCACAGTTCCTCAACTCCAACGCAAGCGAGACGTGGCCTCCCACGGTAAAGTTACCCAACTCTGATAAATCATATGTGGCATGAGTAGAACCCATTAGGCTCCCATCCCCACCGTTCTGGTTGGTTGAAATAGAATAAAGGTTGTTGTTGTTGCTCATGCCAAGCCTTTGGTTTTGCAATTTCCCAGTTCCAGGATCCATTACCACGTTTTCGGCATGGACCCCTCTATCCATTTCTGCATGTAATTCCGGCTTCAACCCATCATGAGGTTGGACTTGGACACTGTCAACAGTTACTAAATTGTCCTGTGACTCTTCCCATTTATTATTATCACACTCTTGAACATGATCTCTTTTACCTTTCACTGTGTTCTCAGATGACAGGTTGCAGTTCATCTCGGATTCTCCAAACTCCTCTTTGTACATTTCCTCAACCATTGGCTTCCAAAGACGCACCCGTGCATTGATGAACCAATTTGCCACCTGATGTCAACATTGGATGCCTCAACAAAGATCAGAAACCAACCATGGTACCGGACTGAAACTTAGGTTGTAGGTTAATTAAACAGGAAATGAAGTCTCAATGAAAATATTTTTGTTCAATTCATGAAACAAAATTATCCTGTACCTGGTTTCTGGTCAAGCCTGTTTGCCTTGCTAGCATAATTTTCTCTGAATCCTTGGGGTAACTGGTATCAATTATCAAATTTAAGTTGAGTAATTTTATCAGAATAAACTTGAAAAATTAATACAATTTTATTAATTACAGAAAAAAGAGAAAAAATGTTCAGGGTGAGGGTGATATGTGAATGTGACATACGGATGAAGAAAATGTTCAAAGAGCCAAGCACGGAGTATTGAAACAGAGCTTTCTGGAAGCCCCCTCTGAGGCCTCCAAGCTTGTCTCATTACACCAAGTTGCTGAAGGGCCTTTTGCTGTCTAAGTTGCTGATCCACATAGCGGAGACGGGGTATTCCCTCTTGCTCCCCAAGGCTCCTTTGTGTCACTTGAATTTGGCCACTTATGGCATCACGCAAACACCGAAAGTGGCGAGAAATTGTTCTTAAAGCAAGTGTGGTATATGGTTCTGCTGCTCCACACCCAGCAACCATGTCAAAAGATGACACCACGATCTGCATCTGATGGCAGTACTGTCTGTATCTTTTATCTACCTATAACCAGTGGTAACAAAGGATTATGGACTCATCCGCATGGTCAACACTCAACACTATGATAAATTCATAATTCATAACTAACGGCCTTTTCAATAGTTAATCATATTGTTCAAACGCTAGAGCAACAAATCTATTTTGTAGACAATTATAGATGTAACTATAGAGCAATATTATGTCCTCTTAATTGATCTTCTTTCACATGATTTGAAATGGAAAATATTAAATGAAACAAAAATGATTTGTAGAAACATTGCTATTTGACACCTAGAAAAATGAAAAAGTATAAACTTTGTGAACATGAATCGAATAATAAATGGCTTTACTGGTGGTGCACTTTCTCAATCTGGAGTGACAGCTAATCTTTCGAAATGAATTTACTGCGGTTACTGTTTTGGGCAATTGGAATCTCTGCAAACCGCGACAGTATATACATAGGTACAGCAGAGCCCTTTTAAACAGTGTAAAAGTTCAGAGGTTTAAGAACTAGAAAACAAAAACGCACACATACAGACATACTCCCATATAGAAGAGTAAAAGAAGAGAAAACAAGTTATAGTATCCAAAAAAATGTTTTATATAATCTTTTATATGTTGTATAGCCTATTTTCTATTCAAATAATAATCTATATAAACAACTACGAGTAAAATGGGAAACATATTACTAAGCCAATTATGTCAATGAAATAAAAGGAAACAATTTAATCTAATAATATGGACTCTACCTCATCCAGCATGGACAAAAGCTTTGTTTTCTTGTCCAACAAGTTCTGCCGTTCTCCAGGTGATAGTTCAATAGAAGCATTGGCAGTAGAACCATTAGCACCGGTAGATTTCCCATCCGAATCTTTAGAGCCATCTAATCCAATGTCACGGCAATTCTCTTGTTTTTCCATTCCAGGTTGCTTCAAAGCCTTTCGGACACTAACTATTTCATCAAGCAACTCCTGTGCTTCCTTAAGGTATTGGGAGTTCAAAATACTGTTTGAGTAACCTTGTGATCCTTGAAGGCATGGATCAGAGGGAACTTCTTTAAGACACATTGAGGTGTGGGGGTTGTAAAAACCCTCCTTTTTGATCATGTCATGAAAGCCTCCAGAAGACACAGATGCCATGCATTCAGCACTTCTCAACTCCTTATGTAGGTTATTAGCCTCATCATCTTTGAGAGACATAGTTCCCTTGAGGTTTGGAAAATCAGTCATTAGCGGCAAGAGACCTGTGTCGTGATATTGGTATTGAAATGGAGGGACAGATGAAGTAGAAGGCATGATTGTCCCGAGACTGAGAGATAAGCCATGACACTGCATGTTTTGCTCACTATCTACAATTCCCATTTGTGTCCTTGAAACAACATGGGAATCTCCAGCATAAGAGTTGCATGCAGGATCACCAGTTGCAGCATTGGAATGTCCATTAATAGATTGCATAGTCACTGTGCCACCCATAGCTGTGATAAACTTCACCTCATTTTGTCCTCCTACAGATTCACTGTAGTCATGAGGTAACAGTGAGGTCCCAGACATCATCTCTGCATAAGATCCTGAAGAAAAGGCTTGGTTGGGATACATTATAAGCTGATTTCCGGTTTCTTCACAATGGAGTCAGCTGGACATGAGTAGCGATGGTATTATAATAAACCCCCTGCTATTCTGTTTCGTTAGGTGAATAAGGTAAGAACCATGTTGAATCATTAAAAGCTCGTTGAATTAAAATGTCAAAACTGTGTACAACAGAAACTGCAGAGGATAATTAGCACAAAATTCAATCAATATATGCATAGTATAACCAAAATCACAATATATGCTTTGTCTGAGGATCAAGACATGTATAGCATGTGATACAGGCAAAGCAATTCAAACCGTCAAAATATGTATAGCATGATGAAGAATTTAATACCACTATTACATTATTTTTTTCACTTGGTAACTTTGATTTTGGGTATTTTGTCACAACAGATACGCACGAGGAAAATTCCTCAACGATGTACAAGAACAAAATTGATTTCTGGGCTCAAAGTTCAAACCAAAACTCCCTAACCAACCACCAAAACTTGCCTGAAACACCCCCAATTAACATTCTTCCAAACAAATGCAAAATAATCTAGTATTGTTATAAGGTCATAATTTTCTCACATGATCAGATCGAAAAAATTATGGGGATTTTGATTAAAGGAAGAATGTTGGTCTAAAATACATTGATGATGAATGTGGCACTCAATTATTAAAAGGTATGCAAATTCTCATGGGATGCAAGATGCAGGAAAAGAAAAAGAAAAAAATACAAGAGAAACAGAAGCACATGTGTATGCGCATACTTTCAAGTTTCAACTTTCATTATGAGCTACGTATAGATTGTGTCAAGGGCTTTGATTACTGCTGGTGGTGGTGATATATGCTTGCTGATTACAACAAAGACAAAATGAAGGGAGAAGAAAGTGATGAGAATTTCGCAAACAACATTGAAAAACCACGAAAACCAAGCAACCATGAAACAACAATTCCACTTGTCCAGAACGCAACGCTTCCTCCCCTTTTGGACCTCACAAAACAACGTTTCTTTGGTGAAAAAACGAAGAACATGACTCAAACACGGAAGCACCAATAAATCAAGAAGGAAAAAAAAATCTAATAAGATAAAAAATCCAACCCGCTTAAACACCTCACTCATTGTGACTCACTTGTGAAATTATAAACTTTTTTCCCCAGTCAGTCACAGTAACTTCCACATTCTAATTTTCAGCTTTTTAGTCATCAAATTCAAATCCCCCCATCAGTCCTGTGACCATCAAAGCATCATCTAACACCACAAACAACACTACATCACCCATCATCACCATCACAATCTTTTTTCTACTTTTTTGCACACTTGTACAAACACAACCCAAAATTAGAAGGGATGAAAGAAAATTAAAAAAAAAGAATACCTGAAAGTGAGAGATAAAGGCAGGGGAGTAAAATTGGAAAAGAGTGGTCTTAGAGCAGAAATGATAGACAAAAATCCATAAATTGTGTTGAGTTTGAGGTATAACCGAGACAAATGGCAATCCCAAGAGATATAGTATTTGAAACAAAGACCGACCTCCTTATCATTGGAACAACGGCACCAACCAATAAAAATATATATTATTATTAAATGGGAGAACTTGTCTAGTTGCCATTGCCAACACCACCTACTTTTTTAATTTATTTTTGTAAAAAGCAATAAATAATTAGTAAATTTCATGGTCAATCATTGTCGAGTTTCTCACGTGTGGCAAACGCCTCATGAAAATCGTGCGTGTGTGGAAGATGGGAGGGTGGTTGTTTGCTTGGAAGGGTTCAAACCCTAACCACCAGTTGGTGGACCTGTAACTTGTAACCCTCCCTTAAACCTCCACTTAACGCATACATAAACCATAACAATCTCTCTCTCTCTTTTGGTGCAATGAACTCAACACACCACAAACACAAACTCATCCAGCATATCATGGTTGGCTGGATTCGCTATTCGGGAGTAGGTGAAAGTGACAAATTCACGCGTGTATGCTTCATGTCTTCTATATGCAACTGCACCCCACGAATCATTTTGCTCCTTTTATAAATAATAATAATATACTCATCATTTTCATTTCATTCTATCACACCATTATATATATATATATATATATTTGTTTCTTTCAATTAATTTTAATTTAAAGGTCAAAGTAATTAAATTGAACCACCCATGTTTGTTACGTATTCTCTAACAGCAAAAGACTTTTGAACTCGAAACATTTAATATATAACTTTATCGCCTTCATAGTCCAGCATCCATGGCCAGTACATTAACATTATTGTTCTCTTGACTGTATAGTATATATTATATATTATATATTATACATATATTCAAGATAAGAATATTTCATTTGTGAGAAACTTTCTTCGTTCTTTTGTTCTCCATCTCATCGATCCCCCACGGGGCATATTTCATATATAAATGCTTTATTTTGTGTTCTTCAATTCGTATGCTTCATTGACTTTCGAGGGAAGTTAAAAAGAGGTTTTTTTCCTCTTTCTTCTTGACGATAGTCGCTAGTGGAGTTAGGTTCCTCTTCCACTACTTTTCAAGAATCCAATACCTTTCAAGAAGCAGGGAAAAATAAAGATATATGTTTATCTATTAACATTTTTAAGTAATCAAATATGAAGTAAAAAAAAATTATATATGAAGTAATTTAGCTTATTTTTTTATTCATAAATAAATTTTTTTGGGTTTCTCATGATATAAAACACCTTTGTATTTTTTTATATAATTAATATAAAGATTTACTATCGCTTTCACATATCAACTTATGTTTACCGCCAGTGTTATATATGTTATCTTCATTGGCACTTGACCCCTTTTTTTTTTCAATTTGTACCTATAATAACAACCGGAGATAGCGATGTAGAACTTATATCTCACAACGCACACATTCATTTAATTGTTTGAAAATGTTAACCACAATGCCAATGTTAGACCCCGTATCCTCATACCAAACAAAAAATAATGAGCATTTACGTAGATATTAGTGTTTGCTTTAATTTGTTAAACGATCTATTCTATAGATGTGATGTTTATCCATGGTAGTGGCAAATCAAATATGTTATGGGTTCCTCTGATTAAATGCGTAATTAGTAACCTACAACTACAATGAAGCAGCGTTGATGAAAGCAAGTTAGTTAATTATATTTGTGGTACCATTTTACCAAAAGAAACTCCATCTGGTATCAGCAGTGTTTTGGCCAAACCAGTAAAATACAGTTTTTTGCATCCATCCCTCCCTTTCCTCAAATATTTATATATAGTTTAATCGAAAAAGAAAGAAAAAAAAATATTTATATATAGTTCATTTCATCTTCAAATTAACCTCAAATATTTAACTGAAAATTTCTTCCTCTGATTAAGGTTTAAGTACGGATTAGGTCGAGTAATCTCTAGCTTAACATGGCCAAAATTTTGGACTAAGTCATTTATTTGAACTAGAAATTAATTGATTAAAATTTGAAATATTATTGGGAAAAACCCAAGTCCCACATGGACTAGAGATTAGGTAATTGAATAGTATATAAGTGGAAAGCAACCCTCATCTTACAAGCCGGTTTTGTAGGGTTGAGTTAGGCTTAATCCACTATTCTAACATGGTATCAGAGCCATTTAGATCCACTTTAAAAATGGGTCACCCACCATTGATGCATGCCTCATAGGTATGAGGGGATGTATTGGGAAAAACTCAAGTCCCGCCTATCCTAGATCATTAAAAAAGGGTCACCCATCATTTATCCACGTACCAAGCCCAATAGTACTGGACGTGAGGGGGTGTATTGGAAAAAACCGAGTCCCACATCGACTAGAGATTAGGCAATTAAATAGTATATAAGTGGAAAGCAACACTCACCTTAAAAGCCGGTTTTGTAGGGTTGAGTTAGGCTTAATCCACTATTATAAGATGGTATCAGAGCCATTTAGATCCACTTTAAATGGGTCACCCACCATTGATGCATGCGCCAAAGGCATGAGTGGGTGTATTGGGAAAAACCCAAGTTCCGCCAATCCTAGATCATTAAAAAGGGTCACCCACCATTTATCCACGTACCAAGCCCAATAGTGCTGGACGTAAGGGGGTGTATTGAGAAAAATCTAAGTCCCACATCGACTAGAGATTAGACAATTAAATAATATATAAGTGGAAAATAATCCTTACCTTACAAAGCCGGTTTTGTAGGGTTGAGTTAGGCTTAATCCACTATTTTAACAAATATGGGTTGAGTTAGGCTTAATCCACTATTTTAACAAATATATATGTGATCATACTGAATTAATCGAAGGTTTAATAGAATGTATTAGTATTAACATTATGTATGTCATAGAATAAATAGAATATAATTAATGTATATTTTGTAGTATACATATATATATATATATATATAGGAGGGTTCAAACGACACCGGTGTAACTTTTACTAAGTGTTACACCGTTCAATAACTTTATATTAAATGTGAATTTTAAAAATCCAACCGTTAGATGGAAAGTTCATATCTCTTAGATCATATATGTCAAATTTTGTTAAAATTGAACAACAAATTGAAAGTAATCAAAGTGTTCATATTTTAGTATATTTTAAAATGTATATATTACGTCAATTTTGTTTTATGAGAATGAAGTATCAATATAATATCTTTATGAAAATAATCCAAATTCATCCTAAAAGATGTATAAGATATAATTTTGAAATTCAAATCCATCCTATCCTTTTTGAGTCAAACATATGGGTAGGACAAATTGAGTCTTACTCACCCTTAATTTTAAATAGTATTTTACTTTGTGTATTTTACACGCTAAATTTTTATTATATATAACTAAGTTTTATAATAAATTATACATCTAAATAAATAATATATTTAAATATATCAATTATATTTAAAATTTGAATAAATAAATATTTTTAAACATTAATTATATTTTTATATTTCAGTAAGAGATTATTTTAATTATTGATAATTAATTAAAAAATATTAAATTTTAATTCATAAATAAATATAATACTAAAAAATGAATTTGATAAAAAGTTTAAAAAATTTCTAAAAATGCTCATATAAAAAAATAATTCCTAAAAACATTCTCACACAAAATAGTCATTTATGTTTAATATACAATAGTTAATTATTTAGCATCTAAGTTATTGCTTTAATTATTTAACTAATAACACCTACTTCTGTAAAAAAAAAAAAAAAAACTAATATCACCTACCATTTAGACCAATTAAAATAAAATTATTTCAATTTAATTGATCGTTGTCTTGAATATAAATTCTAAATACTATATATTTACGGCAAATACTCATAAGACTATTACATAAAAAAAAATTATATAAATTTCAATAGGATTCTCTTTACTAAACGCATGATCCATGCGATCTCAAAATATTAATTAAAAAAAGTTATTTAAAATGATGGAACTCTTGAATAGGCTTGTAAATCTAATGACAAACTCCTGAATAAGTGGTGGGCAAGGACGGAGCCAAGGGGGGACCTACGGGTGCCACGGCCCCCCCAAAAATTTTAATTTTTTTTTATATACATATATATTACTATATGGCACCCCCTATTTTTAATATAAACTCATATTTTTAATATAAACTCGTATGTATATTACTATATGGCACCCCCTATATGGCACCTCCAGTATTGAAATCCTGGCTCCGTCCCTGGTGGTGGGTGAGTTTTGTAAAGGCAGACCCTTTTCCTTTTTCTCTTGAGGAAGAAAATAATTATTGAATTCAACATTTTGAGGCAATTGTGTGGAGAGCTAGCGTTGGATTTGGAGGGGTTCCCATAAATATTCTATTGGTTAGCAAGTCAGGTTAATTGTTAGGAAACAAAGGTGGGTAGGAAAACTCATATAGCTAGCTTTCTTTAAGTTTCTCCCAAGGAATGAGATTTCATTAATTCAAATTAGAGCAAGGCACTGTATCAGGTGGAAAATCTTCAGCCTAATTATGGCCATGGCCGTCAAAATTGAAAAGCAAACTTATCAATCATCCTAATAGTTTTTAATGAGAGGAACAAAAATTTCACATTCAACATAAATTTACTAACACATGAATAACAAATACTGATACACCAAATGCTTAAACAAAGACTCTAACACCAAATGCTGAAAGTTTTTAAGTTTAACGTGTATTGAATTGACTTACCTTACATGTTATAAACTCTCCTTATAACATATATAGATAATAAGTTAACAATATTCTTAAAATTAAAAAAAAAACTTTATTATAAAAAAAACTCTTCAAAATATTTTTGCACAATATATAACATATCATATTTAATATTCAATGGTGGATTACTAGTTCACCTCTTGTGTTGTCAAAATTAGACATATTTAATATTTTATTTCTTAGTTTTTGAATATAAAAATCTTGCAAACTACTCTAATATTTAGTTGAAAATTTATCTTTCAAAGATTCTCTCATTTTATTTTATATGTCTATTTGATTTTCATAAGATCTGTTCCTTTCATTTTAATATTTTTTATCTTTGTTTTTACATAACTAATATTTTAGCATATGTTAAATATTTATTATATATAACTAAAATTTATAATATAAATTATATGTACAAATAAATACTATGTTTAATATGTAAATTATATTTAAAATTTGTATAAATATATTTTTTTAAACATATAAATTATATAATTTTTTGACAGTGTATTGGATATCACCATATATAATAAATGAAATATGAGGAGAAGATCAAAACATAACATTCAACCATTACTCACTTGACTGATAAGTTTTCAACCGAGAAGCCAACATGTTGTCATCCGAGTAAAAGCTCTCAAATGGATTTCTCAAGTATAAAATCTTGGTTGACAAGTTTTCATTTGAGTAAAAACTTTTGGATAAATTTTTTCAAGTATAAAATATTGGTTAACATGTTCTCACCTGAGTAAAAACTTTTGGATGAAGTTTTTTCAAGTATAAAATCTTAGTTGACAA